TCTGCGCACAGTGCGCTTCACCATGCGCTGACCCTGCTCTGTCATTTTACGTGGCCTGCCACTTCGTGGCTGAGTTGCTGTTGTTCCCAGTTGCTTCCACTTTGTTATAATACCACTAACAGTTGACTGTGGAATATTTAGTAGCAAGGAAATTCCACGGATGGACTTATTGCACAGGTGGCAACCTATCACGGTACCACGCTTGAATTCACTGAGCTCCTGAGAGCGACCCATCCTTTCACCAATGTTTGTAGAAGCGTCTGCATGCCTAGGTGCTTGATTTTATATACCTGTGGCCATGGAGGTGATTGGAACACCTGAATCCAATGATTTGGAGGGGTGTCCCAATACTTTGGGCAATATAGTTTATGTTAAGCCCTGATTCTGTAGTGCTGCTAACTTTGTTGCATTTGAGCACAAGAATTTTCATTCCATGTTTTGCAGATCATCACCAAAACCTTGCACCTTTTACAACTGGTCCAGGATTTTTCAGTAGTTTGCAATGAAAGTCCACTATTTGTATGTGAGCTTGGAACTGCCAATACAGGGTTCTTTAAACCGGCTTAAATGTTGGTAATGACGACGTAAGCACACAACATGTAGTCATACAATTATAGCCAGCCAGTATTTAGGTGAGATAACGTGTACTGTATAATGTGACAATAAGTACAATGTATCTAAAATATTTGATATCATATCCTATAATACGTGTTTGATGTATACAATTGATGTTCTTTATATTACTGTAGATAGTACAGAATAGGGCTCCCAGTCTGTATGGAGGAAAATTATGTTTATTATGGGGTCAGCTACTAGTGGCAAGTGCTAACCATAGCATGCTGACTTAAACAGTGGACAGGAGGTGTCTGTTCCTTAGGCTCGGTTGTCCATTTGTAGAGGACAACATTTTAATTGGACGGTTACTCTTTGAAGCTAAGGTATCCTACAGGGAGGAAGATGTGTGAGTTTGAAGACGGGCTCTGGTAAAGATGCAATAACAATGATGTGTAACATGCTTTATATGCCAGCATATTCTCAAACATATAATTTCGTATTTTATAATTGTATTAATCTTGTAGGTATGTTTGGAGAATTTATCATTTTTGGTTGTCTTTGTTATATGCACTCTTGCCGTTATTAGGATATCTGTAAATATAGCTCATAACATGTTCGTAAATTTAAAACTGAACTCCAGCCTTTACTTAAATCTTGCACAGTTGTACAGGCTCCTCTCCTGTACTAAAATAGTTTTCTCTGATTTCACTGCACACCATGAGCTTTTCACAGTGTGCATTAGAAGCGGCAGAAAGTCAATTTCCTCCCGTCTTACTGTCCTTGGCCTGCCCCTTTCATTGGATTTCAGTTATTTCAATCATGGAGGCTCAGCATCATGTGAGTGTTACCTATAGAGGTCGGATTGCAAATACAGTCTGCCTAAGAACACCCACTCCTCCGGACTGACAAGCACCCATCGAGGCATTTGTATACATGCATAACTCCTAAGAGCTAGCGACATCAATGGATCTAACATAAGGTATGTAATAAAAATGTTATTCACATGTTAATAAGGGGGCAAAGGAGAAACCAGGAATGCAGAATAAACCTCAGCTTCAAGAGAGCCATTGCTGGAGAAGGTAGAATTAGAATTCCAGTTACTTCCACTATTGATTTAAATATTTAACTGGAGAAGCTTTTTAAGAATTTATATTACCTACTGATATATATGTTAGGTATTGAATTCATCTTACTACTCACAACACGCTATATAGCTATGAGGCATCTATGAGGCATTTATTTTGTTTAACCCCTTCATGACTGAGCTTGTTTTTGGTTTCTGTTCATTTTACATAGCCGTCTTTTAAAAAATACATTAGTATGTTTCCTCCCCGAGGGGGCAGAGGGACAGCCACTGTGCCCCCCGTTAAAAACTCCTACCTCGGTCTAGCACCCGTTTAGGAGTACCACTTCTGTCCAACGGCAGATCTCCCTTAAAGGGGCGCCCTGTCGGAATGGCCAGAAAAATGTGTTACATGCATTGTTTCGTTAATGTCCATGCTCTTCTTTCCTCGCTTTCATCCTTCCATCATTACTTTCTGTGGTGTTCTGCATTCATCCATTGACATATTTTCAACCACCTTGCTAGTTTTTCATCCACCTTAACCATGCCCTCGAATATTAATATACTATCGCTCAATGTCAAAGGACATAATTCCCCACATAAGAGAAACACTGCTTTCTGCCAATTCCACTCCTCTAAATTAGAAGCAAGCCGATGTACGGCTGATTTCAGCCGATGTACGGCTGAAATCAGCCGTACCAGCCTGAAGTGAATAGCCGAACAGTGTTCAGCTCACTTCACTTCTGATCGGTCATTCACTCGGCTGCCCTCGGCAGCTTTGTGAATAGACCCCTATGTCTTCAAGAGACCCACTTCTCCCGTTCCTCTCACCTGAAATATTTCCACTCACATTATACCCAAATTTTCATAGCCAATGACTCCACTAAACAACGTGGTGTCCTGATCGGATTTAAAAATAACATGCAATTTGTCCGTCATTAAGAAATTCAAGATCCCTCTGGGCATTGTCTCTTACTAATTGGCATGCTATGTGATCATGAGGTGACCATTGTCAGTTTTACATTTTATTTGGTCACATAAAGGGCTACGGATCCTATTAAATACTGTGTACCAGACTAGACTTGCTGTCGTTCCGACATTCTGCATTGCTGTATAATATATTTCTGAGATTTGTAGTCCTCTATACCTGATGGTAATTTTTTGCATTACTGTATAATGTATTGCTGTGATTTGTACTCCTCTATATCTGGTGGTATTCTGCATTGCTATATAATGTAGACATGTGCACCAGCAAAAAATTAGTTTGGTTTCGATTTGGATTTTGCCTTATTTCGTTTTTCGGAATTCGGGTCCGAAACTCAATTCGTTTCGGGATTCGGACGAAATTAGTTGTCCGTTGCAGCAAACTGTAACGGTCAGGCCGGTTCTATCGAGGGATCTCAGCTGCGGAGTTAGAGTGACACCTGTTGTGGAACTGGCTCAGCGCGAGGGTTCACTTGCGCACTCTGTATGGTTTTGGAGTGATGGTGGAACCCTCTATAACATCATCTGCCAATCACAGGATACTAGGAGGGGAATCAGAATTAGAGAGAGGTATGCCACTCCAGAAGGGAGTGGTTCTGCTCTCCCAGGATAGATTAGGAGGAAGGTGATAAGCAACAGATAGGTTAATTACAATTGCGAGGAGAGAAGGATGATAATAAGTTAATGGACTCTTGCAGTACCTCTAACTCTCCACATACACTGTAAGCAGTCTAGAATTGGCAGTATTGCATGCACAGACACATTAAACCCCCAGCTGACACGTTCTAGTAATAGCCTGAATCAGGCAGGGTTACTTGCGCTTTGAAGTGGTTACTTCCACTGAATGGTCACCGTCCAGCTGCACAGCAAGTCCCCGGGATGAAGGAGTGATCCAGGCAGCGGAAGAGTGTCCAGCATATGAGAGATGAAGGCAGGAGGTTGCACTGAGGGATCCAGGAATGAGGCTGTGCCGTGGTAGCAGGTTCGTACGTTGGTACTGCCGAGGTTTGAACCTTGAGGGGCAATGTTCCTGTACTGTGGTTCGCTGGCGAGTTGCACTGGCTCGACGTTCGCAATACTAGAACGCCGAGCAACTGCAACTCGTGTGGTTTTAACGAGATCGGAACATAAGGTGGGCGGAGTCACGAGCGCCGACCGCGGCCGCGTCTCCTAGTGATGTCATGCCGCTGCATCGAGAGGCCGGCCTGCGGCCCAAAACGCCGTATACGAGCGATCCTATTACACAAACTGACATTTGAGAGGGAAAAAAGTTTTTTTGTTCTCAAATGTCACTTTGCTGCAACAAAATTTCGTCCAAAAAACGAAAGTTCGTCCAAAAAAAACAAATCGGAAATTCGGAATCGGAAATTCGGATTCGTTTGCATTTGTTATATCCGTAATTCGGATACATCCAAATTTCCGAAATTTTTTCGAATTTCGATTCGGAACGAATCGCACATGTCTAATATAATGTATTGCTGAGATTTGTACTCCTCTATATCTGGTGGTATTCTGCATTGCTATATAATGTATTGCTGAGATTTGTACTCCCTCTACAGCTTTGAGTCAGCAGCAGAACTACTATGGTCAAATCGGTTGCAGCTGCGACCTGGCGCTCCACTGCTGTCCTAAAATCATTAGTCTGTATTGTTTTAGAAAAACTGTCACATGACACTAAAAAAAAAAAGGTATAAGTAATTGATATCGGTGAGTACTTGAGGAAAAGTATTAGTACTCGTGTTTTGGTCTGGAAAAAAATGGTATCAGTGCATCCCTAGTGTGCGATAATTTAAAAGGAGTTAAATACTACAATAATAATAATAACATTCTTTGTGAAAGTTCCCAATTATTTATGCAGATGATTTGGAAAAGCAGAATCAAATTTGCTCTGTAATTTTTTGCATTAAAGAGAATGTTTAAAACATTTTTTTGTAGCAAATTATAAAGAAAATATTTTTGGCTAGCCAACTTTGTTCTATGATAAATTCCCTTTACATGTTTGTTATAGTCGATGTGTAAACACTAAGGGGTCTCTTCCCGTTGTGAATCTCTGTGAATGTTCCTTCTAAATAGAAGCAAAAACAAATGTTTCTAGTATATATTTTTTCAGGTTGAATGTAATGTAATGTTTTCACTGTGGGCGCTAGATGGAACTGAGGAGCATATGAAGTAAATACTTTATTTTTTCCCCAAAATTCACAACCCTCTGAAAGTGTGTATTATATTTCATGTTAATAATATGCCATTTAACAGGTAATGTATAACATGGTAATATCCCAATTTATTTGGATAAATTGCTCATACAACGCTTTTAATCTGCACACAAATTAAATTGGCTTGCACACAAACAAATGAGAAACCAGATCAGCTTTGATTTTGCCAAATCTATCATGGAACGATTCCATGGCACATATACTTAGATTTGCTTAATCGTAATCTTGATTGTGAGCATTGCCTTCATTTGATTGTTGTATGAAACATCATCTAAAAATACAACAGAGATAAACAATGGTTAAATTTACAGTGATGTGATGTACTCTGTTTTACAAAATAGCAACATACTATTAGTAGTAGTAGTAGTAGTAGGTGTAAATAATATTATTATTATAATTTTTGTTTATAATCAAATTTTTATTCATTTCAGGTATACAGACATTGTGACGTTGGAGTGGTTAGCACAAATGGTGAGCGCTTAAGGAACAGTCTTGAAGCCGTTTTAAACATAAACAGGACAATCTTTTATTTAATTCAGCAACAGAAAATAAAGCTTCAACGATAATACAAGGTCTGCTTGTATTTCAGCAAAACTGAAGATATGACAATCTCACCACTCCAGGTTGTTGCACATACTCCTTGTGTCCCAGTCCCTGGCACTCTTAAACACATCCCTCATGTGTCACTGGCTCTCTGTCTCCTCGGCTGTCTTCTAGGTGCCTCCAGCACACACAGCCACCTGGCTCCCCTCTGACGTCTGGGTGTAGTCCTCCTGACTCCTGAACACCTCTGTTCCTCTTCCCAGCTGGAGCCCTGAACACACTCCAGCACCCTCCTCATGAGGGATGCACACAGGTGCACAATCAGGTGCTGGCTGCCACTAAAGCATTGACCCAGCTCTTTCCTGGTACAAGCAATTGCTTCCTGGAGCCACTCAGCCCCTCTGGCTGAGAATCCTGGGTGACTTTTAGGCCACCTAACACCGTGGTATTGCCACGCAATGCCACAACATACAATAAAATGTACATGGTAAACACTTATAAAGGACCATCGGACACATTCAGGCTCAGCCCATCTCTGCCATAGAATCCAAGGGCCATCATCTGACCACTGTGTATAATTATACCAAGCTGTACCATATCACTAGTCATTACACAGAGTGTGAGACTGCTCCGAGCATTCGTTTAGGTCAAGGTTTGGCAATGAAGGTGAGTAGTAGTAGCAGTAGCAGTAGCAGTAGCAGTAGCAGTAGCAACATAATGACATTTCCCTTCCAGGGACTCCATCACAGACTAGTAGTAGAGAGCATTGCTATAGCCCGAAACAAAGGTCTGGCGGTCGGAAAAAGCCGAAGAAGGAGTGGTAGGGGAGGAAGTAGTAGGGGAAGAAAAGAGAAGAGCCTAGAGAAAGCAAAGGAATGACAAAGAAACAAGGTGAAAAGTAGCTGTACAGAAAAGGAAGAGCAGACAGAAGGAAAAGGCACAAGAGGTGGGAGAGATGGAGGGTCATCCAAGCTAAAGTAATAATTCCAATCTTCTAAAGGTGCAATCCATACTGGTAAGCTGTAAGGCAATATGTTTTATATATAAGCTCATGTCAGGGCCCTGTAATCCTCCGAGTCAAGAAACAACAGCCATAGTCTCCATCGTGCCATAAAGATGGTGTGGCGATCAGAACGTTGAGCTATCGGCTCCTCTGACCTCATCAGTTAACTATTATTATTATAATAATAATAATTGATATAGCATCATCATATCCTGTACACAGGATATAATACAAACAAGGTTTAATATTAAAGAAGAAAGCATAATTATTTTTAACCCTTGCAGTGTGTCTACCCCTGCACTACAAGGGATAAGAGCTTATTTTTGTCAAGGGGATGAAAATAAAAAGGTTCTACTCACCCGAAACTCGCAGCCAACTAGCTGCTTCTCCTGTCTCTATCGCCTCTCCCCTACGCTGGTCCTGTGATGGAATGTCCCTTGCGTCTTTATATCCTATACACTATAAAGGACATGATGACTCACAGGACCATAGACTGCCAGAATGGAGGGGGAGTGAGGTGGCAAGGACTGGTCCAACAACCAGGTGGCTGGGAGGTTAAGGTGTGTATATTTTTGTTATCTTCATCCCTAGATAAAAACGAGCACTTAAAGTGACACCAAACGCAGGAATTAAATCTTAAAAATACATTCAAGTACCTTAAGCATTACCAAAAATGTATCTTATTTATGTATCACTCAGCTGTAGATCCTTCAATCATCTCTGAATTGGTGCTGACACTGTCCTTCTGGAGGGTGGCTACTTCTGTTTCCCATGGTCCGTGTGTGTTGTAAAGTAGCCACCGCTCCAAACTCACTCATTTAGTTTACTCATTTGTATTTAGATTGTAGTCCATCACTGGAGCGAGCTTGGAGCGGTGGCTACTTTACAACACATACAGGGACCATGGGGAACAAAAGTCGCCACCCTCCAGAAGGAAGGACAGTGTCAGCACCAATTCAGAGATGATTTGAGGATCTACAGCTGAGAGATACACAAAGAAGGTACAGTTATGGTAAAAAGTTAAGTTACTTGAATGCATTTTTAAGATTTAACTCCTGAGTTTAGTGTCACATTAACCTTTGCATTGCAGGGGTAGCCCCACCGTAAGGGTTAAGAATAGTTATGCCCAGAGTTCCTTTTAACATAAATATGTTTAAGTTCTTATTGAAACATTATACAAAAACAAATGCAAAAACATGTAGCAAAACATACATCAACCAATGTGTGATACATGCTCTTTAATGGACTTTGATTGTATTTAAAAGCAATCAGTAGCCCTTTAAATATAGATCAAATAGCTGGTGATCCTGCCACTGAGGGTTAATTCATCCTAAAAGGTGATAATGCCAGGCTACAAATCGCTACAGTGTGGTCACCCTGTGCAACCCCTGTAGCCACTTACAGGAGTTGTGATTGACTGCCTGAATTGGAGAGCTAGTGTGCCCACTTGATGGTGTCATGGCCAAGAAGAGGATTTATGCACTCCAGGGACCAGGTAATTAAAAACAAAACAGGATTTGAATATATGTTGGTGGTATGGCATGAATTGTGCCTATATGGCATGCATTGTGCCTACACACAGGCTTTAATTAGATATATAAAGGGATAAAGAGAAAATAGGTAGAAACATGAGGAAAGAGTTTATAAGATGGCAGTGTGTGTCTTGTCAGATAGTTTAGAAAGAAATCTTGTTGGATCAATGACTAGACTGGCTTCCAATCGCCCAAAGGATAACATTCAAAATATTAACAATCACTTACAAAGCCATCCACAACTCTGCCCCCAGATATATCTCAAACCTGGTCTCAAAGTATCATCCTAACCGTCCCCTCCACTCTTCAAAAGACCTTCTGCTTTCCAGCTTCCTCATCAACTCCTCCCATGCTCGCCTCCAGGATTTCACTAGAGTCTCTCACATCCTATGGAACTCTCTACCCCAACCTGTCCGTCTATCTCCCACTCTGACTCCCTTTAGACGATCCCTTAAGACTCATCTCCTCAGGAAAGCCTATCCCACCTCAACCTAACCACTCAACCATCGCATTCTCAAATAATTAATCCCCACACAGCTCCCTCCTCATGTATCACTTGCCACTCCCTTTTAGACTGTAAGCCCTCAGGGGAAGACCCTCCTTACCAGCTAGTCCTGAATTGTATTGTGATTGTAATGTCTACCTTATATTGTAAAGCGCTGCGCAAACTGTTGGCACTATATAAATCCTGTATAATAATAATAATAATCTTTGTAGTGTATGTTGGTTTGAAGATTAGGAGAGTACACACAGCACATAAAAGGGAATTCCAGAGAAGGTGAGACTTTGCCAGGCAGAGTTTGCAGTTTCAGTAGTTTGTGGAAATTAGTGTGAAAATGTATAGCAGGACTGGGTTGGACAGAGCGTTATAGGGTAAAGCTAGTGAACTGTAATTTATGTTTAATTGGCGGCTGATTAAGGCACTGGCAGGTAGGAACAGCACATAAAAAAACAAGAAGGGAGGTGGAGTCCTTTTGGGACTAGTCCTTTGTCCCCTGCTTGCCTTTTTTGGCACACCTTCTGCAGTTTGGGTTCTCTTTAAAGGTATAATGCTTAACACTGCATAACAAAATATATATTAATATAAATTAAAGTACTGATAAATATTAAAAAAGGGAATTTAAAGAAGACAGGGTAAATTAGCAACACCTATTTTGCACACTTACCTGTTTTCCACCCCATCCAAAATAGAGTGGTATGCTGATATTTCTTTCTCAAGCTGCAATTTACGGGACAGAAAATGTTCTCGATCCCTCTGATGCTGCTCAGTCTCACTTTTAATTTCCTCCAGTTCTGCTTCCAGCTTGGTGATCACAGAGCCCAGGTTCTGGAGCTCAATGTCATGCCAGTGTTTAGCATCATGCAAGGAGTTCTCCAAACCTCTTTTCTGCAAACACATACATAGAAATATAGTTATATGTAATGTCCATTCTCAAACTACCCAGTGTTAAACCTGAAGAAATGTTACTCCTTCACAATTCTCAGGGCACAGTGTATAAAGATTTTGCCAGTATCCTGTTTCTTCTAAATCCTTGCTTCTCAACTGGGTGGTTCGTGACCCAAAAGTGGGTCGCGAACCCATGCCACATGCATTCAACTTTTCTAGGTGTCAGACTCTTCAGCCTCCCCCTAGCGCAGCACTGTCAGTTCTCGCGCCGAGCAGCCATTCAATATATGCTGCCTGGCCGTGCATGTCAGCTTGAAGTGGGGTGGGCTGGAAGTATAAGGGAACCCCATCCATATGTGCATTGCTTACAGCTCCCACATGTGCTCTGCAGGGCACGCAAGGGAGCTTTACAAACACTGCGCATATGGATGGCGCTCGATCATAGAACAGCAGCCCACCCTGGACCCCAAGCTGAGGATCCACTCCAGTTCTCATAAGGTAGGGAGACGGAGTGGATCTTATAAAAAAAAAAAATATACTTTTTTTTTTGGAGTGTGTGTGAGATTGTCTGCTTGTGTGTGTGTGTGTGTGTGTGTGTCTGTCAGTATTTTTGAGGGTCCGTTCACACTAGTACACCCCAAACACACAGTCCGATCGCCTGCACCCGAACGCCTGGTACTGCAATGCCGTGCATCCCTTTGCAGTGCGACTTGGGTCGCAACTTAATGACCAAGGACAAATGTGGGCCCTGAGGTTACACAGGTTGAGAACTACTGTTCTAAATCATGTTGTTGTTGCAAGCAGCAAAATAATTTAGAATGCCCATATTATGGTATTTTAAGTTGTTTAGGTACTGTATATGGTACATAATGTTGCTTCTTTAGATTAAAGGAGAACTATGGGGTTAAGGCTTTTCCCCATAGGTCTCCTTAGGGTAACGGGAGGACACAAACTAATGTCCTCCCGTCACCCTAAGCTCAGTATACCGCGAGCTACAGCTCACGGTATACCGAGATGCCACAGTATACCGCGAGCTACTGCTCGTGGTATACTGAGACGCCGCAGCTGAAGCGAATCCCGACAATTATGTCTGGATCCGCTCAGCTGCGTGAGTGACAGCTGGCTCTGCCTATCGGCCAGTCAGCGCTGGCGGATTGGAGCGGGGAGGGGTAATCCAGCCCCTCCCCTGTCACGGCAGAGGGCTGTGACAGGATCGAGAGGTGAGCGATGTGTATGTGTTCGCTCACTTCCCGATCTACTGAGCCGACCTGTGACAGTCTCATTGTCACAGGTCGGCTAGAACAATGAGGTGAGTGAAAAGTACTCGCCTCATAGTTCTCCTTTAACAGATGTGGGTTCTACTGAACATGCCTGCAGACCTGTAGTAGATCTATAAACATTATTGCCGTCTATTTAATCCATTTAATATGCTTTCCCTGTTAACACAGCAGCTAAACTCACCAATGTCCTAAGGGATTCAGTCTCAGCCTGCAGGCTCTGGATTTTGCAGGCTGTATCATGGAATTCCTCTCTCAGGGTTTCCACAACTTCTTCTTCTTGGCTTTGCACTGCTGGCAGAGCTGCTGATTGCTGTTAAATGATAAAACAAAGCCACAACTCTACTAAATAATGGTTAAAATAGGCACACAGACCTCTACCTTTATCTCTGCACTGATAATTCATTTTATATGACTGGAGCCCGAGGCTTGAGCACATAAAGACTATTAGGGCTCATACATACCAGCACATGTTATGCTCACTGAAGCTGGTGATTAATGACCTGGGCTTAGAGCATGTAGTTTGGATGATGATGGCCATCAGACTGATGACATCTAGTTGCAAAAAAAGTACTGTGCCGGATATCTTTGGATTAAACTCAATATTGCAGCAAAAGCTGGTGTTTTATACCTGTGGACCCCTCTACTTTCCTGTTACATAACAAGCAAATGTCCAAGAAAGCTTACTCGATTCTGTGGTGCGACATTTATTGAACGCTACTAAATCCTGCATTCCTGTCCTTTGGCAGAGCCCCTTCCCACCTACAGTGACTATGTGGATACGCAAAGTGGAGGAGATTAGAGAAATGGAGGACCTGACCTTGTCCTTCCAAAACAGGCGGAAGCGATATCTCCAGACATGGTTTTATTGGATGGAGTTCATGGAATCCCCTGAGGGCCGTAACTTGTTAATATTGTCTCTCTATTTGGTTGGCAATTGGCGTTTTATACATTGATGATACTACAGGGAATCCCCCCCCCTGTGAACCTGCAACCACTCCCATTCGCTACTTTCTTCTCTCTAAGATGTGAGATCATATACGGTTCTGCTGTCTCTGACTGCTTATCTCATGAGATTTGAGGTGAGATTTAGGGCTACCACTGCTGTGCTGCCCAATGTTTTCCTTGCTGGAGAGGATCTGCAGTACAAGGAGCTACCTGATTCTGCTTCATTCATTCACAGATTACTAGTCATCAGGAAGTCAGCTCTTACATAAGGAAGCAAAACCTCCTCTAGAAAGGCCTACACATGGAGACAAAGTCCAGAACAAGGCATGGTGAGTCAGTAATGGGGAAAAGATGAGCTGCATGGAGACCCCAAGCAATACTGGTGACTAGTCCTTTGCCCTTAACGGGCCTTTTTTGGGCACAGCTTCCACAGTACGGGTTGTCTTTAATTATTATGAGGTGGCCAAGTTAGCTATTCAGTGTGAGCACACATTTAGGTATGATCATAAAATAAAAATTACTCTTTTGCAATATTTCTATATTAATGTTTGTGTCTTAGTTGCCAAGTGTCCCGCAGTGTTTATGCCTCGGGACTGTCCTTCAGGATCCGGGACACTGAGCTATAAATTCAAGGACAGACTAATGCCTTCCTGGTACATCAGTTGCCTCTATTGCCTGAGAACAACCCTGCTAAAATGACTATAATCACAGCTGCCAGCTGCTTCTGCTACTCCTGTAGGTGCCTGTGAGACTTAGGCCTCGTTCACACCTGACCGTTTTGTAGGGCGTTCTACGCTCGACGAACGCTCTACAAAACGGTCAAAAATATAAATTGCATTGTAGTCAATGCCCTCGTTCCCACCTAGGCGTATTTCCGCCCGTCCCTAACGCCATACAAAACGGCCCACGCCTGAAAAGGTCCCGGGACTACTTTGGGCCGTTTTGTAGGGCGTTTTCCAGGGCCTTTGGAATCGCGCGACTTTACCGCGAATCGCGGTAAAAAACCCGCGTGACGGTCGCGCGACAGACGCGCATATTACAATACGCCTAGGTGTGAATGGGGCCTAATACTCAATGGGTGCCCTGGCAACATGGCAAACTAGTCTGAACGTGCAGTCTGGCAATATATCAGCTTACAAAAAATCAAATTGCATGGCATTCTACAGGTGCAAACTGTCTTTCCACTGAGGTTTGTCCAGTTTAACACAACAAACCTCGCCGTACATAAACCAGTGCATGAAAGGCCTGTGCTGTATTGTATATAGCAGACATAACTGTATGAATACTGCTCTGTACAGTATATTCCTTATTCCACATCACCTCCGGGCTCCCAATTGGTCAGCAGCCTGTATCTTGGCATTATGCCTGTGACCCAGCCTCCAGGAATCCTACTGCCAGGCAACTCCTGCAGCTTAATCTTCCTTGCTTGCCAGATTTAAGCCTCACAGGCCCTGCATCCAATGCCTGTGACAGGTTTCTCCACATGCTTTACTAGCTGCCATAATTGTACCTGAATCTTGTTTTCCATACCGCCTTATTCTGTACACTGCCGTGCACATTCCTTTTTCCACACTGTATTTTGTACACTATGCTGCACATTCCTTATTCTGTACTGCCTTATCCTATATGTTGTGCCATTTATTTCCTATTTGTTTATTTTCCCCAGGAACAATGGGACTTATTTTACTCACACTGATATCAGTGATCGGACTTATTTCATCCCACTGACAGCAATAACAGGCATTTTAACTGCATTTTCTCATTAGTATACCCCAAGACCATATTTTGTATTACACATAGTAATCTAGGGGGAAACTTGCAACACTACAAGCTATATGAAGTAAAGCAACACCCACCTTATTGGCCACACCCCTACACACTTGGCACTGCGCTTTTCTTTTGATGTATAGGTATCCCCCTTATTTTTCTTTAAATGTTGGCAACTATGGCGTGTGCGTGTGGGTGTGTGGTACATGTTTGATATTACCCTGTAAGTACTGCTGGGACAACACCAATGTCAATACGGAAGAATACAGTTTGCATATATATATCTGTATGTATCTACTATCTAAACATGGGGAATCATGATGATATGTTCTTAATATTTATAGCTAAAGCAATGCATATTGGGCTGAGCCTGACCATTTTGGTTACACCCTGCAGCGCCCTCAGGCGGCCGCCTGACTTGCCTTGCGGTTGCGCCGGGCCTGCAGAAGAGTAAGAGGGGGCAGCATCAAACAAAAATTTAGGATTGCTGTGTCTGACTACTTACAAACTCCTGTAAGTAACTCAAGCAACAGAACTGGATGATAGAGGATGCACCATGGTGAGCAATCAAAAGGCAATTAATGACTTAAAGAACATTTTTCTCTTGAGAAGTAAAATGTAGGGCGCAGTGGAAGCCACCCTGCATACAAAGGGGTACAGCACACTGCCTCCAGTGGTACATTCATGTTTTTTATTTCATGATACATCAATCTTATCACATACGGGTGAAACTCGAATAATTAGAATATCGTGCAAAAGTAATTGCAGTAAGTGCTCCAAAAGGGGCCCAAACCAAGTACTGAGCAGGGGCTGACTCGCAACTTTTAGCCCAGGGGGCAAGTACAACCTAGAGGCCCATGGTGCGACAACTTGGTATCGACTTAGTCGATTAGTTGTTGCAGCCCTACATTCATCCCTGATTTCTGGGCACAGTCCCCGGATTCAGGAGACCGTCCCCTGACAAAATGTCCCCGGGAACATAAAATAAACCATTTTTAATTCAATGTAATGAGTCTATCTCATATATTAGTTTCACCTTTTAAGTTGCATTAGTGAAATAAATGAACTTTGCACGATATTCTAATTATTTGAGTTTCACCTGTAATAGTATTTGATACAAAAGGAGTGACCAGAAAACGAGTTATGTAAGTTCACTTATATCTGGGACAGCACAATCTTTTTTTACAACCCTTTTTTTTTATAAGCGTTCGTGAACCGAGGTAATCTGCTCTGTTTCAAATCAGCCCCTAAGACTTTGTAGTTAAATCTACAGCATTGTGTATGAATAAAGCACACATCACTTACCTTAGCCTGAAGAAGGGCACCAGATTCAGCTCTGTTTTTCTCAATGTCCTTCTCCCAGTGAATTCGAATAGTCTCCAATATATCATCAAGGCCTGTGCCAATTGGAGTATCCAATTCTTCCAGCTGAGATCCTGCCAGCTGCTTGTACAGCATCTTCACATCCTAGAAAATAATATTGTTGAACAGTATTGACAAGCTTGATATACCTCTTTGAAAAATATTAGTGTCATATTAAGCTGATCGCTACATCGTCTATGTTTTCCCTCAATGACCAGCATCTGAAAGGAAACTGTCAAGACAAAAATATATAGGCTGAAAATGTTTGATAGGCTGTCATGCTGATCTTCTGGTTTCAATAGTTATTTGACCACAAACAGAAATATCAGGCTTTCTGATGCTACTTGCTGGATATTTATTCAGGTCAATGACACAGTAAACATTGAAGCCAGGGATTTGCATGAGAGCCAGGAAACTGGCATCTTGAAGAGGCAGCCAACAATGGCGGCCCACATGTTTTTGTAATGACAAGTTCTGTTAACAGCTTTGTGATTGGAATACCCTTTTTTAGTATTCAAGCTCAATGTCGCATACTGTGAGAATGTAAATGTTGCAGCACAGAAATAGCAATGTGTACATGTGTACGTTCCTAGAACTTAGATCCTGCACCTAAATTGACAGACTAGTCCAACAGCATCCATAGCTCTTCAAGACAGCAAAGATTTAACTTGATGATGGAAAGGTATTAAATATTCTATTTTATAATGTGCTTGTCTAATATTCTCTTACTGTAGTGATTTCAGTGACATGCAGTACGTTCCATGCAAGGTGAGGCATTCCCCAGCCGCGCCCCCAGCCTGCCAATGCCCCACCCCCCCCAACCCAGTCACCAAGCTATGTGTGCAGGAGGGAGGGAGAAGGGAGGAGACAGGGAGGAGCCTCCCTGTCCCTCACTTGCTCATCACTGGTGAGGCATCGAGATCGATTTTTGTTTCTTTGTGTGTTTTTTTTGATTGGACAGCATGGGCCAATGGCGCTTTACCATTGGTCCAAACCATCCACAGAGCTCAAGCCTCTAACACCAAGTAGAGGCTGTTGCAGCTCTTGCCTCACTAAGTTAGGTAACTGTCAAAGCCAGATGCAACTCCACCTGTAATTAACAGGCAGCGCTCCGTCCATGACCGGCTACACTGCGGGGAGGATTTCCCTGCTGTGTAACCTGTTAGAAGCCGTGTGAATGGAGAAGAAGCTGTCAGCTTCAGACTTGAAGCTGACAGCTTTTTCGTCCATAATACTAGGTGAGGCTCTGCCCCACCTGTTTCCCCTGACTCTCATGAGTGCATTGGAAGAAGTAGCCTCCAGTGACATCAGCTCCAAACCCCTCCCACATAGAGGCTAGTAGTACCTCCAAGGGTCGTGCTTATTATAGCTGAAGTTGTTTGCTGCATTTAGCTTGGGTTTCTTTACTGAAATGTCTTTAATCTGGTGCCTTTACTTACATTTTACGTCACATGAAAAGGTATAACTACAGGGTGTGCAGACGTTGCAGCTATGATAGCACCCTTGAGGTTTTTGGAATATCCCTTACTTATGAGCTATGTAATACTATTATATACAGAATAATGCAGCATTTCTAATCCAGTCTTATGTCTATTTCTGGCATCTTTCTCATTGCAAAAGCTCATTCATTTTTTTACCTCTTCATGGTTCTTTGACAGCAAAGCAAGCTCCTCCTTCATGCTTTCTATCTGACTTTCCAAATCCATTTTTGTCAAGTTAGCATCATCAATCACTTTGTACAAGGATCGGATCTCCTCTTCCACCGCTTTTCTGAAAGGCTGCTCATTCTCATATCTGTAATTCAAACATTGTGTCATTTCCATGAAATACTGTATTGAGATGTTGTTTATGTGGCCTGTATTAGGTGGGCTTCTCCTATATAAACTATATATGGGGAACCAACTGTTATTTTATTATACACCAAGGGAGATTTTTGTTCAAGCAACTTTCAAAACAATATACTGTGGGGGGAATTTATCAATACTGGAGCAGAAGAATCTGGAGCAGTTGCCTATGGCAACCAATCAGCTTCTCTCTTCAGTTTGTTCAGTTAAGGTTTGAAAATGAAAGGTGAATGCTGATTGGTTGCCATACACAGCTGCTCTAGATTTTGTCTGCTCCAGTTTTGATAAATTCCCCTCTGTATATCCAGTAGATTAGAGTTGATTAATACCACAGAAACTCAGCTTTTTTTGCATAAGGAAACATCCTGGTGAATACACATATTCATTCAAATAATATGCAGGACATTTACACAGTAACACCCAGTTTATTGAAACATACTTTGGGAATGTCATTTATTTCTGGGAATTCCCTTCTAAACTAGAGGTGAACCTGTTTACTGTTCAAGGTGATGTAAGTAAATCAGTTGATTGTATATATGAATCAACATGCATCAGCAGCAGTTTGCGAGGAAATAGATAGTGGTTTTGTACTGATTTTATTTTCTCTATCATAGTCAGTGCTAATAAGATACATATATTAAAATGTCTTCTTTAGTCATGTAAATTGCATTGTTATGGCACAGGGATATTTTGTATTCATATATTCAGCTAGTCTGTTTGAAAAAATATTGAATAATTAAAATAAAATGTTGCCCAAACCATTATAACTTTCCTTTAATCACCCAAACACACAATTAATCTGCTAAAGGTTTCAAAGAGCAAAAATACTCTTATAGTATCTGCCCCTTAGTGGATTTTACATAAAACATATATAAAGAACTCACATCAACAAGAGATACAAGAAGATTACATAAAAAGCTGAGCCTAACCCAGTGGTGTATCTAAAATGATTTCAAAATAATAACTATAGAATGCCTTGTACTGCTTGTAGGGGTAACCAATAGTGGGTTTTCCTGTCTGTAATTTAAGGTGCCCATACACTGCACGATTCTCGTACGAGAATCGCGGGAAATCCCGCGATCGCACGAGAATCGTGCAGTGTATGGAAGGCATGCGACCGTTTCTACTGTACGGTCGCACGTCTTCCATCGAACCAGCATGTTTGAAAACCCGCCGGGAATCGTACGATTCTCGGCGAGTTGGTGGCCTGCTGGTTCGACAACTGCCGAACGGGCCGATGTGCACACGCGCACACTGCCCGTTTGCAGTCAGCGTAAGCCCGCCCCTCATTACAGTCATCGCAAGCCCACCCCTCAGGGGGCGTGGCTTGCGATGATCGAGAGTGCGATCTGCCCGTCCAAGATGGGCAGATTGTATGTTTTTTTAATCCCTTTACAACCATCGCAAGACTAAGGTCTTGCGATGGTTGTACAGTGTATGGCCACCTTTAGGCTTTCACACACATAAAACAAGGCGTTTATGCCTCAGTTCAGGATTGCGGGTGTAGCCATGAAAAACATTCTGTTTTGCTCCTGGGCCACCCACTTTAAAGAAAGTGACTGTGCAATGGAACAGCACAAGAAATAATAAAAAAAACAAAGGCTAAAACCATGCAGGAAAGATGATAACAATACATTTTACAGAAGAACATAGATAATAACATAATGCATAAACATGGTACAGAATCCAAGCAGGGTCTGTCCATCCTTACAAACAGACATATCAGATGTCCTGACACCTGGAATACAATGCTTTTACTAGGCCTGTGGCTCACTAAGTTGGATGGGGAGGATGAAGATGACAGCCATACCCCTTAAAAAACAAATTAGCAAAGTCAGCTCCTGTATAACTATCCTAACAGGTTCCTTTTAATGACTATACACACTTTTTTTTTTTTTTGGTATAAAAAGTTCAGTGTTTGCAGGGAAAGCCACACGCCTAATTTCAGCATACAGTAAGCCTATTTTCCTAAGATAAATGTGCTCTTGTTTCTCAGCTAAAGAGGCCCAATTGAAATAAATATTTTTCTGTTTCTTTCCTATGAGTGTAAAAAGACCTCTTTCATAGGTTTATTTTCCAAAACATATTTACTTATTTGCAAAAGCGTGCATTCAAATGTGATCATGTGAAGGAAACGATTACTGAGATGTTGTTTATGTCTATCAAGAGATATATCTTGATAGTTAAAATAAACTCTATTTACTCAATCAATTTTCTGTATGTTGTCCATACAATGGGGCTTAGCTAAAGGTTTATGTTACAAGATTTAACTTTTAGGCTGAAAGGCAAATTCTTGATTTCATTGCCCTGTCTTCATAAAATAACATATACTTCATGATTTACAGAGTAGTTAAATAATCTTTTGAAAAGCAAATGCAATGGAACTGCCATGGCATCCAGTCATGTGTGAGGTTATTTTTTCTAATAAACACTGCAAGCATGAGAATTGTAATTTGTTGCTGGTGGTAACATTTTTTTCAGCTCTAGGTTTCCTTACAAGTTCTTTAGGACTTTTTCACACCTATGTGATTTAGATGCATTTTACATTCATTAACGTTCTATCCTACGGAAGGTGCGTTTTGCTGGTGACTGCACCAAACATGCACAGCACCTGCCCCTCACTAAAATAGAGAGGTGTGATGTGAAGGGCCCTTAGTCTGAAGTTATTGCTATAGATTATGAACTTCCTTTTACAGAGGAAAACAGCATGGCTTGAATCAGCCCCATCCCCTATAATGAGGCAGCATCTCTTTTGGTCATGTGGGAGGGTGGCAGGCAGAGCGGCATTGGCTTGCCTGCTGCACAATGTGCCTGCCCCCCCCCCCCCCTCTCAAGCCAAAGCATCTCATGTTGCTAAGAGCCAGATGGGGTGATGTGTAAATGGCATACACATTTCCCCGCCCAGCTCATAGCAACCTGGGACGCTCTGGCCGGTGTCCCACTCAGCTGCTGGGAAACAGTGACATCACTGGTTGCCAAATGATGCAGAGGCCACATCCCCACCCCTTATAGCATGCACCACCATTACTGTCGAGATCCACCCAGCTGCGTGAGAGCCAGCTGTACCCGCCCCCGCCCGCTCCTCCAGTCAGCGCTGGAGGATCGAAGCGGGGGGGAGGGGGGGGGAATCCCTGCAGGGAGCCATGACTAACAGTCACTGCTCTCTGCAGGAAGATGATCGAGAAGTCAGTGAGTGACGGTATGTGTTCGCTCACTTCCCGATCTATTGAGCCGACGTGTGACAGTTTCATTGTCAGACGTCGGCTCGAACTATGAGGATGGTTGATTTTCACTCACCTCATAGTTCTCCTTTAAGGGTTCATGTGCACGGATGCACATAAAGTCGTAATACAGTGGCATACAGCATAAAATACGCTTGTATCTTGTGGTTCTCAGAAGACGCAGCCGCTGCGTTTTTCTGTCCTTAGCAATTTTTGTCCAAACAATCCTATGTGCAGGTGTACACGTGTAAAGGCCTGTGCTAACATTTACATACACACAGGCAAAACTTCCGAGTTCGGGAACTTATATCCATGGGTCTGAAAAAAACACTTGTACTGGCATTAAGGTCTCGTTCACACCTAGGCGTATTGTATCTGCGTGTCTGTCGCGCGTTTTTTTACCGCGATTCGCGGTAAAAAAGTTGCGCGCCCGTTGCGCGGTTCCGAAGGCTACTTGGCTGTATCCCAATCGAAACGCGCAACAAAACGGCCCAAAGTAGTACCTGTACCTTTTCAGGCGTGGGCCGTTTTGTAGCGTGTTAGGGACGGGCGGAAATACGCCAAGGTGGGAACGAGACCATTGAATACAATGGGATTTATATTTTTGAGTGTTTTGTAGAGCGTTCGTCGAGTGTAGAACGCGCTACAAAATGCTCAGGTGTGAACAAGGGCTTAGTCATATAACTGTGGACAGCCATTTCTGTTCCTACAATCCTATAGACACGCAAATACAGTCATATTTTACGCTGTATGTCTAAAACCTATATTTGCACATGTGCATAAGCCCTAAGCTATAACATCTTTTGATCTAGTCATAGATCAAAAGATGATGGTAGGAAAGATAAACAACTCTGCTATAAAACAAGGGAATAAAAAGAAGATGTTTCATAGCTGTAATAGCTAGTTTTAGTAAGTTTAATTAAACTGCACTTGCTTTGTAATGTCGAAGACATTTCGCTGCTTACTGAAGTCACTTTTTCAGTTCCAATGAGTGTCAGGAACATACCCCAGCTGGGATGTGTTCCTGTCTCATTAGAATTAAAGTAGCTGCATGGACAAACCCAGCTGAATGTGACTGGCAACTACTAACTGTACCAACCACCCATGGGTGGTTGAGCATGTTCACTTTGCAAGGGAGTTTTCACTTAACTTAGTGAATGTGGAGAAGCCGTGCTGACTACTCCAAAAGTGTGCTAACAAAATTCATATTTTTTAAATTTTCTGTTTATGTAAATGAGAATTTCCTGCAAAATAAACTTACACCATATTCGTTAACGTGAACTTTTACCAGGAGATATGCATGCTGATATGAAATCATCTTACATTGATTAGTTAAACAGACATATTTTTCTTTTACTTACAAATTCTACTTCCTGGTCTTATTGGGCACAAATGATGTAATCATGCCCAAGCATTGCATCCTGTGAAGGTTACATCAGTAGTGCATTGATTGGAAATCTCATCTGTAATCTCACAAGACCTCAGGGAAAGGCATTTTCCTCCCCTGAGATGATGTGCATGGTCACATGTCCTTGTCACATGTGCCAGAGTTCCAGGAAGTAAAGGGAGATGTATTAATCTGCCCTTGGGAAAAATGGCCACTATGAGAATAATGGGGAGGAAGATAAAAGTAAGATATGCAAAGAAAAAAAAGCAGGCAATTATAAGTATCTGTTTGTAGATTGTCATTACTAAACATTTCTAAAGGTGCCTTTGTTGTTGTTTTGAAGATATGGGTAAAGGTCCTATTTAAGTTAAGTGAAAATTCCCTTCTAAAATTAAGATGGAAAATCAACCTCATAGAGTTAATAAGTACATGTAGGTGCCTAATTCTGATATAGGACTCAATTGCAAGATCGATCTGTGTACTGTGTTTACTACATATGAATGTATCTCATTATACATGTAAATGTTTTATTAATAACTGCTTTAATTTTGAGTGATATAACTGGATCTAAAGGTTCAAAAAGATTCACTGCATCATTCTTTGCTTGTGCTTACCCCATAGTTGCAAACAGACAAGCCCTGCAGTTTAAACTTCAATACGCAACCACTTAGTAGCATGTAGTACTTATTTAGTTTATGTCATCTGCAGTAATTGTTTCGATACCTTTCTTTAAAGTCTTCTGCACATGCTTGTATATTTTCTGTCTGCAGCATAAGGCGAGCATTTTCCAACACAGCATCTCCGACCTGTAAAAACAAGACAGCCATGAAAGATGACTAAGATGTTCCATTGTATTGTATATGTATTAGCATGTCCAAACCTGTCCCCAAATGCATGGACCAAGGCCAAACATATCTTACTGACCCAAGATACAGTTTACTTTGATGCAGTCGAGGAACCCGGGGACACCGCTGGGCCCCGGCTTCCTCGACCGCAGCTGCTGGCTGTCACTGATTGTCAGTGATCTGGACAGCGGCACCTTCCTTCACACAGCAGCCAGTGACAACCAGCAGCCTGCGATGCCATAGTGACCCGGGCTGCCTGCACGGCATCATTTGGGAGCCCTTTGTTCCACATCCTGGCCAGGGCCCACTATGCCCCGGGCCCCATAGTGGCCGCCTGGGTCACTATGGTGATAGTGACGCCACTGGAACTTGGATTGTGGAGGAGGAAAAATGAGCCAGCAGGACTGGATTGTGAAGGAAGGAGAAATGAGGTAGCATGAACGGTTAGTGGAGAAAGGGGACAAAAGGAGCAGTGAGATTGGATTGAGTTGTAATGGGATAGAGGGCGCAGTAAATCTGGATTGTGGAGAGGGCAGTGAGGAGAAAGCAGGACTGGAGGGTAGACATGGGGACAGAGGTCAGCAAGATAGAATTGAAGCAAGGAAATTGGATTGTGAGAGAGGGGAAGAAGGGAGGCATTTAGATCAGATTGTAGTATAGGATAGATCAAGCAAATGGTGCTTGGCAAGATCAACTTGTAATCAGACAAAATATATCCTTTGTGGAACTACAGTCCCACCAAGTATGTATAAAATGGGGGATCAGGTTTAATAGATAGGTAGATAGATAGCTCCCCCATTTGAACCCCAACAGGGCAGAACCTGTAGTCAATGACAGTTGCTGCACATTATATAACTATCTGTTAACACAGCCCCAAACCGGCAAGAAACTTCCACCATGCTTCACTGTTGCCTGCAAATACTCATCATTGCACCACTCTCTAGGCCTTTGGGGGACAAAGTGCCTTCTATTACAGACAAATATTTTAAATTTGGACTCATCCATCTAGAGCACCTTCTGCCATTTTCTTCACACCAGTTCTTGTGTTCTTATGCATAGGCAAGTAACTTGGCCTTTTTTCTATATTGAAGTAATGGCTTTTTAGCCTCAAGCATCCCCTGAAGACTACTTCTGATGAGACTTCTCTGGACTGTAGATCGGACTGTACCAGGGTTCCACTGAGTGGATTTTCAGACTAAAACTTTATGTTTTGGATGAAATGGTGAAGGGAGAAGAAAAGGGTGACCTGAAGTCAGGAAAATCTCTTTGCTAAATACTAAGATAACTATAAAAGCTTGACAGAAGTTCTACCTCCTCACCACTCTATTAAAAGTACTTCTATTGTTCTCTCTGTTTCCTGGGCATATTTTCTTTAACTTTATTACAAGAAATTTCCCCAGCAGGGACACAGACACCAGTATAAACCCAAATGAAGTTCTGAATCTAAATCCAAAATAAAAAACGTTAACTTTGGTTCTACTTAAAATCCTGTTTTACAAGCCTTGGAACCATCTAGTTTCAAAGTTTTGGCTGAAGTTCCAGTATGAAACATCTGTACAGTTTATTAGAGAATAAAGTCAAACATTGCACTTCTTGTACTAGCAAACATACAGTGCTGGATTAATATAATCTTTGAAGCTAACTCAAAGCACAAAGCTTAAGGGAGACATAGGTATTTACCATTCAGAGTTGCTTGTACAGCCCTGATAACAGAAAAAATAATTTTGTGTTAACATTGGATATATGCATGCGATACACTGCCATACAACCGTAAAATTTGTATGCATGTACGCATATAGCTGTATAACTGTGTATGGTCATCTAACGCACTGCTGCCACTGACTGATAGCTTCACAAGGTGTGCAGTGAGATTTGGCGATATCATTACTCTGCTGCTTACTGTTCTTGTGACAGTTTGCTGGAGAAGAAGCTCTACATGAAGGCCTCTGCTTGCTTCATTTATTATTTGGATCTGTGCTTCTTTCACCTCTTCTTCCTGATCATTCCCCACAGCAGTAATCAGATCACCAGTCATCGGGGGGAGGGGTGTTCAAATCAGCTGTAGGGAGCCCAACTAAACTTTGATAGCACAACTGAGCTTCCTTCTGTCAATATATTTTTTACATGTCAAAGCAGACCTAAACTGTAGAAGTATGTACACTTTAGTTTTATTAGATCACCCAGGCATTGGGGGCAGGCTTAGGGTAGTAAAGAAATCAAAAAGAAATCAAACTCTTATTTTGCTACTAAGGGTCCCATAATTCTCTGCTTCTAAGTCACATGACCTGTAGTCAGTATGTTGGGTCATATGGCCTGCAGCTGCTCTGTATTGTGGGTGCTGATGTCCTAGGAGTCTTTGTTTACTCTAAAGACTGCTGATGTCAGTGGCCCAATGCATGGCCTCAAATCTGAAGCACCAGAGGGCATTATTTTAAACATGTCTAAGGTAAATGTTTGATGACTTCACTACACCTAGAATGGCTTTCTAAACCCAGGTCATCTATTAAAGGAATCTAATTCTACAGTTTTAGTTTTTTTAATTAACACAGACACAAATAGAGTACTAGAAGAAAACCCAATCCATGCAACCAAAATTCACTTGTACATCCCAGGCCAAAGTGTATCTTGAGAACTTACCCATTGTGCAAACCATGAAATTATTCTTAACAATAAGCTTCAGCACATTTACTGTACCTCCTTATAAAGTTTCTAGCTGGATAGTTATCTGCCTTCCATTTACATGCAGTGGCCTAACTCTCTGGAACATTGTACAGGAAATCTTTCATATTACCAGGGATTAGAATTGTGTGTCTATACATACATCCGAAGGCTTTATTTTTTCGACCTACTTGTTGTAATGACTGTTCCTATTCATCTTGTACTGTTCTTATTTTCTGCTGTTTATGGCTGCTGCACAAGCTCACTGATTTTACCATACATGATGTGTTGTACGTGTATGTTTTCCCTTTTGCTTTTTTTGAAAATAATAACAAGATTATGAAACAGAACATTGATGATATTTATAGAATATTTTATATTTAGGTATGTTCGATTTTTTCTGTCTTAGGCTGTGTGCAATTGTTCACTCTTCAGTGACCAAGTTAATCACTGGCAAGTCATCAGCTGCCATAGCTTGTCCCTATCCATGATCCAAGCTTTTTCTGTACCATGTGATATTTGTGGCACTTCAGTTATGAATTCAATGCTGTCACACCCTATTTACCATCTCCTATCAATTGTTACCACATACCAATCAATTATACTGTGTGTGTGTGTGTGTGTGTGTGTGTGTGTGTGTGTGTAATTATAGTTTTGCTTTTTCTATTTGAGTAACTGTGACATTGTTGTTTGAATTATTTTATATTTGTGTTTTGTCTCATAATTATAGCAATATGAAATTTACTTACATAATACACATTGGGGGAAAGTTATGAAAACTGGAGCAGTCAGAATCTGGAGCAGTTGTTCATGGCAACCAATCAAATTCTCTTTCATTTTCAAATCTTAACTAAACAAACTGAGATGAGTAGCTAATTGGTTACTATGGGAAACTGCTCCACATTCTGTCTGCTTCAGCTTTGATAAGTGCCCTCCATTCAGTCTCCTTTGTGGGACTGTGTGTTGTTGGTCATGTTCTGTTGCCAAGCAGTGTTTGTGTTCCCAATGAAAGGCCAATAAATGTGTTTCTGACAGCTTGTGTGTGGGAAATGGACCCTTCAGCAAACAGCTATGATTGACAATACTATTAGAAAGTAAATAAACTTGTCCTTTAAATTAATTATGTGCTGTACTATATATACAGTACTACTTTTTCATATACATTAACCCCCTCATGAGCAATGACGGGATAATCCTGTCATGAATCTTGAAGAGGTTAACAGACTCCTGGCGATTTTGTAGAGCTGGCGGCCAGCTTTACAGTAGGAGCGATTCTGCGGCTCAGCTGCCGCCAGATCTCTTCTATGATCCGGTAAAGTGACTGCCCCCCCCGCCCGACACCCCCGCCATGTTTTCTGGGCTCTGTTGTCCCTCTTACGGGCCTGTTGGGAAGCTGGGGAGGAAAGCGGCGAACGTCCATTCACCGTTCTCCTCCCCATGCTACGGGACGGGGAGCGACGCATATTGCATCTCTTCCGGTCCCATAGCTGTCATTGTTGGGCTCCTGAAGCCCAGCAATAAGCTATTGAAGTGCGATCTGCACTTCAATAGCTTATTTAAAGTAGAAAGGTGATACTAGGGGTCTTTTGGACCCCCAGTATCACCTTAAAGAGGACTGTCACCACCAATATGCTATAGGGGCTATGTGATAGCAATTAAAGTAAAGTTTAAAAAAAACTATTTTAAAAATAATATTAAATAAAATGTAAAAATAATAAAAACTAATGTAAAGTCCCCCGCAAGCACGCACGTCGTCACGTAAACACGCGTCGGGTGTGCCTATGTACGAAAAAGACAATTGCGTTGTTGGGAATCTCCGCACACGCCAGAGTGAGAACAATAATTTTGGGGCCAATTTTTACGCGTAGCTCTAAACTGATGACCTGTAGGGGCTTTTAAAGCGTCGTGTATGGACCTTTTTGGGGTACTGAATTCTGTTGCACTTTCATTTACACACACAATTTTTAACCTGGGTATGTTGGGTATCTCTTTAATCATTGTAACCTCCTCTTTTTATATTTTTTTTAAATAAATGGTTTCATATAGTGTTTTGGGGCACTAAATTTAACTTAAGTGCATTTTTCACTAAATTTTGGGGTTTGATAATAAGTTGCGCTAATGTCGTGCAACATACAAATTTGCAACTGTCACCATTTTATTGTAGAAGAAGTAGCTCACAGCGCACACTAAAACAAGATGGATCCTGACTGAATGTTATGGCTACTGACTTTAGTGATTTGTTCCTAGACCAGATTTACTGTATAAGGTGCTAACAGGCTTATTCAGTAAAGCTGTTCTAGGAGCAAATCACTAAGTTCAGTTACCATGCTGATGCTATGCTCCTTGTGCTGTTTATTAAATAAAAATGCTATTATAATTCTTATAACCATTTAATACCTTATACTTTAAAACAGTCTCATATCATATCCTTTTATTTTTTTAAATTACTTTTTCTGTATAGTAATATTGCCATGGCTTTGACATTCACACAGTTTACCACTTGCAATTCACCAGTTGTACATATTGAGGTTTTCTGTGTGTAATAATGTATTCTGGTTAAAACTTTAATTGTAGTTCTCTTTCGCTCTTAATTAAATAAGTCGGGGTGTAGTCTTCCACGGTGAGTTTAAGGGCCCATTCACACCACATCCATATCAACTCCAGACCAGGCCAGATTGTTTCCGGACCCAAAATGCATCCTAAAGTATCCCTATGCTATTTTTGGCCTCTATTCACACCAGCGCAGTCCTTTCCGGACCAGACCAGAAAAATACTGCATGTCTCATTTTGTTTGGTCTGGAATGCACTGGAACGCATGGAAACACATCAAAAAGCATACAAACGCACTGGACTGCACCTGAAAGCCCATTTTAAGCTAAAAGAAAACAACCCAGCTCTGGAACGCGGCCAAATCACTGTAAAATCACAATAAAAATGTGATTTGGCCGCAGCAAAATGCAATGCACTGCATTCCAGATCTGGTCCAGATCTGCTCCGGAAAAAGTGTGTGAACCTGAGAGTTTATGAAAATGCAGGGGTTGCGATACCTTAAGGAGTAAAGCATGCTTGTTTTGCAAAGTAAATTTACACTTTGCAAGGGAATTTTCACTTAGCTTAGTTAATGTGGTGAAAATTCACTTTGCAAAGAATATTCAATCATGTGCAAGGACAACATTTAAAAAAAAATATTGTTTTTGCTTGCACACATTGGATGATGGAAGACAGCAGAGCTTCACTTCATTCGCTAAGCTAAAGAAAAATTCCCTTGCAAAGTAAAATCAACCCGAGTATGTTTTTCTGTTTCCAGTTTTAAAATATTTCTAGAAAGAAGAGAGAGAACTTGATTTTTGATCAAGAACAGATCTGATGTGAGTGCAAGGCTGGTGAGGCTAAAAACAAAAAGCTATAATATGGGTTCTTGGGGTGGAAAAGGCACCACAAGTCTAAAAGTTGGAAATGTCCCAAACATTTTCAATGTGTTTCATTGTCGCGTATGACAGATATGATCGAGACTTGGAGGTGTCCATGGTAGGCCTAAATTTAGATCTATGCTTGCAGTCCCATCTGCGAACAGGTGATATTCATTATATCTAATACATGTTGACTTCATCATAGTGTTAAAAGATTTATTTTTCTTTACAAAACTTACTCTGTTCTAGATTTTAAGTTAGACAGTAGTGGAGAAATATATTGTTCAGATGTTTTAGACTCTCTATCCTAAAAATGGTCTTGGATTTTTTATATCATTGGTTGCCAAGCTGTGGCCCTCATCTGCAGATGTCTGCTATATGCTGCTGGTCCAACACGATCAAATGTAGCTTATGCAAACATTGCAAAGGCCGTTGATCATTCTCTGATATTGCTTCACCAAATCATGGCAGCACAAATCATAGAGTAATCAGTGATACTGGAGGGCAACATTGTCCCCTCAGTGCATCATTTCATCAAAAGCCTTTATAGAGATTAGTGTGTGGGTAAAATAAAGGAGGGTGTACTTATAAAGAGGTGGTTTGGATGGGTAGTGTACTTTTTGACTCCCATGCAAGGTGGAGAGAAGAATGGATCAATATTGTAAACTGGTGTCAGGGGAGTACTGGGGAACTTTGGCCTGGGTGGGGGCAAACACAGCCAAGTATTTCTTTCTTAGTAGGAACAGATTTGTGTGAGCTACAGAAAAGGTAAAACGCAATGTGCCATGGTGCAGTGATTTGTTGGTATAGTGAAACGTTCCTACAGTACATGGATTCTTGTGACAAACCCTTTCACATATTACAGCATCCACTTCCTATCTGGCTCACAGAATATGTTCAACTGGCATCTTAAAACTGAAGACTTCCCCTCTGTCAGATGCTGTGATTGCAGGTCTGAACGGGGAGCAGATAGTTAAATGATGTCAAGCATGTATCATTGACTGAAGGTCCTGCACTGAGGTCTGAATGCCGCCAGCCCAGTCCCTCCCTGGCTGGGCCAAGTGGAAAATGAAAAGATTAGGTACACCAGCTTTGTAAAGTGCAAAGAGAGCGTTTTTTGTAGCTGTGTGGAGTTGAAAATGAACAAATCTCACACACCAGCTTTGTAAATCGCACACTATAATTGGCGATGCTTGCCACATGTGAAGAGTGGTCTGGGCCATAAATCTCTGAGGATCACTGTTTCAAATGCAGCTGCACGAGCATGTATTACTTTCTACACAAATCTCTGGAAAACAAGCTATGCAATTCTCTCAGGTGAAGAGAGAGCTTTGTATGCATGTCTGCTGCCACCTTGTGATTCAACAAATTACATACAACCAGCCCAGAGTTACAATATCACATGATTTTCTTTACAGCTCTTCCAGTACTCATTTATACAGAATTAACAATTTGTACTTTAATAGGAGTCATGTATAAACTGATTTACCAAAGAAGACAAGGACATCATTCAGACCATTTGTTGTGCATTTCTTCTATACCATGTGCATGTATGTGTACATGTGCATTTTAAACTTTTAACTAGCCCACCAAAGAATTGTGTTTGGGCTGCCATCATTTGGACCAACATTTGTTTGAACAAGTAAGGTCAAATGTGGAATGCAAAGCAGATCACAAAAAGTCAGTCATGCACATTCAGTTTTTAAAATCAATGAAATATAGCGTGAACTAACAAATGTGAGGAGATATCTAAACAATACCCCCGCATAAGACATTTGTTAGTATAATTTGATAGATCAAATATTAAACAAAACCTGCGTGTGTGTGACTGGCATTGAGCTGACCACACACTATTAGAATTTCTTTGAAGGTTCATTCCAGCTCCTTCATCAGAGCATTCGATCTTGCCATCGTTGCGTTAACTAATTTTAATTTAAAACCCCTTCAAAATTTTGTTCAGACCTGCTATTTAATGCCAGATGTATTAAACAGATTTCGTTTGTGCTAGCACATGCACATTACGATTTTTCCTGAATGATAATCGCATTCACGGTTAGAATTTCGTTAATTCAGATAAGAAATTAGAAATATTTTCTATCCTGCTACACTGATTTTCCTATTCGCTACTGTCAAAAACGAATGTCGATTAGAGCCACTAACCATCAGAAAGTGAACATTTGAGCAAATCTGGTGTATGGCCATCTTTAACCTGTTTATAGTGTATCAACATTAATTAGAAGAAACCCTTTTGAGCATACTTTTTTGACTAAAGTCAAATAGTAAGTAGTATCTATTGTATGAATAGAGAGGCTAGGTGAATTGGAATTCGGAATATCCGCTTTATTATATAATATTAGACATCATTTGGTGTCAGCTAGAAAGAATAGAGTTTTACTACTATAGTCAGCTAAATGGAAAAACACATTGATAAAAATATTAAAGTGACACTAAACTCAGGAGTTAAATCTTAAAAATACATTCAAGTACCTTAACTTTTAACAAAAATGTATCTTATTTGTGTATCACTAAGCTGTAGGTCCTCAAATCATCTCTGAATAAGTGCTGACACTGTCCTTGCTTCTGGAGGGTGGCTACTTTTGTTCCCCATGGTCCCTGTGTGTGTTGTAAAGTATTCACCGCTCCAAGATCACTCCTGTGATGGACTACAATCTCATGTTTGGTTTACTAATTTTTATTGAGATTGTAGTCCATCAAAGGAGTGAGCTTGGAGCGGTGGCTACTTTACAACACACACAAAGACCATGGGGAATAAAAGTAGCCACCCTCCAGAAGCAAGGACAGTGTCAGCACCAATTCAGAGATGATTTGAGGATCTACAGCCGAGTGATACACAAATAAGATACATTTTTGTTAAAAGTTAAGGTACTTGAATGTATTTTTAAGATTTAACTCCTGTGTTTAGTGTCCCTCCAGAAGGAAGGACAGTGTCAGCACCAATTCAGAGATGATTTGAGGATCTAGAGTTGAGTGATACACAAATAAGCAACATTTTTGTTAATAGTTAAGGTACTTGAATGCATTTTTGTGAGACAGGTAGGACCTCCATTCTATAAAGATCTGTTGTGCCGCAAAATAACCATTCTATGTTGAAAATGAGTATAAAATAAAAAATATATAAAATAAGGGGGCACCAACAAACTATGAACATATTATTATAGCTGAAATGTATGTAGGAACATTTAAGAATGTATAACAAGTATTTGTGTGCATAGAAAAGTAAAAATCTGTTACTCTTACAGAATTACAGCAATCATATTAGAAAACTAACAGACCACTTACCTGATGATATATATTCTCCCAGTTATCCCTGAGTGATCCCCAACTGCTCACAGTTGACGCCTTTTTGTCCAGGTATACCCTGATGTGTTCTTCCAGCTCACGGTTCACCTGTTCTAGGGCTCTTACTTTATCTATGTACTCCACCAGGCAACAATTCAGAGATTCAAATGTGGGAGCTCTTCCTCTCTCCAAACCTTGATTTACAGGAACAGGTGGACCAGAGCTACGCAATCCCTGCATAAAAACACTGCTGATGCCAAGAGCCCGTCGAGATACTCGAGTACCAAGGCTACTTACACCCCCGGTTGGTACACTTCCTACATACACTCCAGGAGACCTGGGTAGGTTGCTGGCACTCCCGATGCTGACCCTACGGTTGGAAACCCCAGAACAGTCTGCAGAGGACAAAGGGAGCTGTTGCCCCAAGATAGATGATCTACGCCTTGGTAAGGGCATTGCTGCAGGAAGATCTCACCACACTGTCCCTGCTCTGAAAATCTCTGGATTCCCCTCTCCATGTTACGTTGGTTTTTTTTTCGTTGTTGCATTTTTGGGATTACATCTCGTCATATGCATTTCTAGAATGTGGTCTTTGGACTGTTTGTAATGGAGAATTCTGTATCATTGTTCAACAGCATCTACTGACTCAGCAGTTCATTTCAGGAATAATCTTTGTGCTGTAAATAAATGGCCAATGACAAACGGTCATGCCACACGATTTATACCTGACAGTCTGTATGGACAATAAAATCGATGCTTACCCAGACATTTACACATGGGTGTGTCATAGCTGTGCTCTTACAAATGTTACAGCATCAGATTAACCAGAAGGTTTTAACTCCCTACTTTATACGGCCCCAGAGCACTGTAAAAATAACTTTCTTGCATGTTTCACTGAAGATAACCATACACATCATTTACAAATCAACAATACAAACTAGCAAATCAACAGATATGAGCTTTGTTATTTATAATCAGACAGGGGTTAAGAAATGACTGGACCTGCAAAAAATAGATACTTTTTCAGCTTGCTAAGAAATTTTTGCAGCCCAACATTCACAATCAAGGATGTGAATGTAAAAGGTAAAAGTTATTATTAGAAGGGGTTGCCTGGCTGTTATTGGCTTTAACACTTTAGGTCACCACAACACAAGGATTCAGATTTGAAGCTCAAAGTGATGTCAGAACTCCTGATCTGGATACTTTTTCCAGGTCAGTGACTCAAAGTATAGAAGCATTTGGGTCAGCATGATTCCAAGACAACAAGCATTTTCAAAGGGAAAGGTTAGCAATGGCAGCCTACATATTCTTTCAGTACATTCCTTTCAGGCTTACTCTATATTTGGCATTTACCATGACTACACTATCAAGCTAGCTTGTGGAAGCTCTAGGTTGTCATTTGTTTTGAGCATCTCAGCGCAATAAGTGATAACCAAAGACTTGATTCAGAAAGATATTAAAATATTGGGAGGCAGTGCTAAACTTCACCAAGCACCCGGCAAATGGCTCAGCATACAGGACCTGTGGATGTTATTTTCTGACATGGTGGTTTTAATGCAGCATTTGAGCCTCAGCTGCCTATTGATCTGTGTTGCTCCTCTGGAGCTGCCACCCAAAACATGTGTTGCATATTCCTTTGAATTCAGTGGTCATATGAAGCTTGCTGAACTCTTTCTCTGTGTGTCCTCCATACAACATGGGCAGCACTTAATACCAGAATGTGATCGAACCTCAGATTACCCAAACAATTTTGCCATTAATCCAAAATTACAATCAAATACTTAGTAAATATCAATATTTGATTCCACTGAGTTGCCAAAAATGTTTCCAATTTCCTTTCTTCATGCCTACAAAAAATGAAGTGCTCTGACCCTACATAGCTGACCAAAATAATTTGGCTGTCTACTATATGTTTTAGTAAATAAATGAACTAAGACACACAGTTTTTACATGTAAATAACTGTATTTATAAAGCCACAGATTGTTCTGTAAAGTTTTACCACAATTGTAAAAAGATGACAATTCTTAGGAAAACCAGCTGAAAACAGTCATTGGAGGAGAAGAGGGAGGTACACAAAGCATATTTATATTATATAGGTGTATGTAGATACTTAAATCTGCCATTGGGGTGCTTCTGGAGGGATGACGGTCAACTAAAATCAACTAAAGTTTAAATTGTCTGTTATCCAGTTTCTACAGCAAATTAAGAGACAGAGCTTCCACCATTAATGTCCAGCTGTCCTTTTTATTCAGGGCTGTTCATGTCTGGAACTAGATGGAAAGTACGGTACTGAACATGTCAGTGGTCATCATATTTCAGAAACATGTTGATGGCCCGAAAAAAGTGTTTCCTGACAAAACGGGTTGACAAGGACCATGCCACTGCTTCGGTAGTCGCCATTAGCTGGGGAGCGAGGCTCTGAGAGATGGTCCTGTGGAAAAATATAATGTTACAATCACAATATGAACACTGCATCATTTAATTATATATAAAATGACACTTGTTAAGTAAGTCTAAAGGCTAAAACTACTCAAAACTGATTTCTCAGACTTGTGCATAAGCTTGGATCTAAAGCAGAGGTAGGCAACTTTGACACTCTAGCTATTCTGGAACGACAAGTCTTATGAGGCATTGCAACACTCTGACAGCTACAGGCATGACTCCCAAGGGTATGATGATGCATGATGAGATTGGTTTCACCACAGCTGGAGCGCTGAGTTTGCCTAACCTTGGTCTAAAGCATCCCTCTGTTTTGTTATAACTGATTGCAATCTAAAACAGACATACACCAGTAACATCCCAAGTGCTGATTCCAACATGGCTACATAAGGAACGTTCCAAATTTCAGAGGTCCAACAAAAGCCGCACTCCACGGGGATTCCACCGGGATAAAATCTTTTACTTAATAACAGAGCAGTAACGTACACACAATTTAAATTTCTCACACAGATCCTCAGCCTCCTAATGCGTTTCACCCGTTGGGCTTAATCATAGAGATTGATTAAGCCCAACAGGTGAAACACGTGAGAGGCTGTGGATCGGTGTGGGGAATTTAAATTGTGTGTATGAAATACCTGTCCTCCTCTGCATCTTCTAGTGCTGGTAGTCCCATGCAAACAGCATTGATCGATCTATACACTGGAAAGAAGATTTGTACAGCCCCTTTAATTTATCTATATGCAAGCAGCTGATAAAAAATGAATCTCCTTTGCAAGGTATTAAAAATGTATGCTGCACCATTATAGGTAGTTTATCACTTTTGAAAATGTTATTAATGTGCAATATATTTTGTGTTTGTATTTCTTATGCAATGCAAGACACATACAGTATTTCCTTATCAATTCTCAATTCACAAGCAGCAAACCTTGCCTTATGTTTAATAAATTGTGTGTATATATCATATATTTCTAAAGGATGCAAAGCACATACTGGTTATCCATACACAAGATGGACCAGGGCCTATCAATATATAACCTTTTATGAACTGTCCTTCCCATTTTTCTGAATCCTTTCATTTCTGCTCTTGTGGAATACGGAGTTGTGGATAATTTATCAAGAATTCTGGTTTGGGGGTAAATGCTAATCCAATGAAATGCTTATCGCATACGCCAGTTTAAATACTTATATACAAATTTTGCATTTGTTACAGCAGACATATATTCAGGGCCGGATTTCCCACAAGGCCAACCAAGGCCCGGCCTTGGGGCAGCAGGGAGTAGTGGGGCAGCAGGGGTGTGGAATTCCTATCTCCAGAAGCCCGGGACATGCAGTTCCGGGCGCCGGGCGGGTAGCAGTTTTCTACATTTAGCCCTGCTTTGGGAAAGCAGAGCTAAATGTACAGCGGGGAAGTCGCCGCTTGTTTTGCACAAGTGATCTTGGTGGTGCCACCTTGTATGCAGCTTGCAGGTCTGCATTCTCCATGGGGGGGTTTTGCGTGTAGGGGGGCACTTTGAGGAACCTGGCCTTGGGGCAGCAGAGAGTAAATCCGGCCCTGCATATATTGTGATAATGATGTATCCACTGTTTATTTGTAATTGTGGGTATTATTCTTGAATTTTATAACAGTTTTATGCAGTAAATAGTCAAGGTGCAGTACAAAAATCATATGCAGGGAGACAACATAATAATGAGCAAAGGGGCGGGACGTCTTAAGACGCCCACCCGCTCTGAGCAGACTTCCGTCCGGCCGTTCACGAACGGCCATGGACGGAAGGTGGTTAAAGCAGAACTCAAGGTAACATTTTTAAAAAATTAAAATATGTTGTGTAACAAATAATTAACTCATGAGGTATATGCCACCTCCTACAGTTTCATTGATGCCAGCTATGTAGCTATCACTATCCTTCCAGTGCTGCGACTATGAGAAATGCAGCTCTCATACACAGAAGCCATACTTTTGTTTATCCCCCCCCCCCTACCCTTTGTTGAAGCATAATATGCCTTGTATTTTGTGAACCATTCCTAAAATACAAGGCGTACTGTGAATGAGCAAGGGGAGAGGAGGGGGGATAAAGGCCAGTACAGTTCCTGTGTATGAAAGCCACAGCTCTCATAGTGCCGGAAGTATAGCATGAGCTACATATCTGGCATCTATGAAACTGGAAATAATAAAGAAACTGCAGCGATCCTGGAAGTGGCATACACGTCATGAGAATCAACTATTTGCTACACTGTATATTTTAATTAAAATATTTTGCCTTAATATAGGCCAGTGGTTTAACACATACGCATTATAGGTTTATTAAGGAATGGTGCTCTTTTGTCCCTAACAAGAACTCTCTACAGAGCTGTATAACTATTTAATTTTGTGGTCTGGTCTCATCAATTTAGTGTATGGCGAGCCCAACCTTTTTTTTTAGTTTTGAATTTGAGTGGGGAAGGATTAAAGCTCTGTTAGAGAGATTTCCCCTTGCTTGCTGTAATGACACCAATTTCACCAAACAGGAAGTGTGGGGAAATTTGCAACAGGGGCACAATAAAAAGCTGACAGGGTAAAACATTTTGTTTTTTTTGGTTGGCCATACACCTTAAAGCAGAAACCACTCCTTTCCTGTCTCCCTGCTGGACAGAAAGCTCCTTCCAGTGCTTACACTAACTACTCCTGGTCCCGTCCGCTGCTATTGCCCTGCTGAGAATTCTAATAATTCCAGATATGAAACACACAGACATACTCTACTGCCCTCTCCCAAACTGTTTAAACTGAAATGCACCATCTGCTATTGTCATGTCTAAAAAAGTATCCCTGTTGTGTTCTGTTACCCTATGTGGAGCGTAATGAGGAGTACTAGCTTGCACCATCTTATTGGGGAGATGGTTTCAGTAGAGCCATCATGTGTTCTTACACCAGCACGTGTTCAGGGATAAAACAAACACAATTTTTTTAATTCTATCTTCTCCACTAAAAACTCAAACCTTTATTACTAATCACCAGTACAGACAAACCGTTCAATGAGTCCTTGAACACTTCTTCCTGGACAATATGTCCCAAGAGGGAGCCTGCTAGTTTTTAGAACACAACAGAAGAGCCCCATTGTCCCTTTGGGTCATTTTTTCCCTATATTTCTAATTTTCTAATTTTTATTACAATATTTTCAGTAGAGGAGCTTTACTTTGAAAATGTTATGGACAATGGCTTGGGATAAAAATTCGGAAGGATTTAAACAACTCTGCTTTTTTGGTGCTGTCCTCTGTTAGGTGGATGGACGATTGGATGGACTATTTAGCCCAATGCTATCATTCCATATTTTGAGCTGACATTGGAATATGCCCGACTCTGCCTTTGTAGAGAAATAGGAACATCATTCTCTTACTAAATCTGTCATCGTGTTAAGGTCCATCAGCCATCACAGGTTCTCTGTTATATATTAAAATGTTTTAACGTACTGTATGAACTGACTCCACACTATTACTTAATATTCACATAGGCAATTAGCTTCACTATACTGGTGATCCCCAGTGGTCCATGGAATACCACAATCTGCCATCCATTTTTCCAGCCATTAAACAGTCATGGCAAATTGATAGGCTCAGATGTATTTAGCATTCATGTATATGGATAAGGTATGTTTTATCTCTTGCCCTCAGGCTAAGAATAAAATTAATCAGACATCATATAATTTATCTTTGTCGAATACCAAGTTCTCCTCTACAATTCTCTCTTAAATACTCTGAAAGCCATAGAGGGCTACTGAATCAAAATTTGACTTGTATTGTCAGGTACGGTTTTCACTTAATTTGTTCTACAGCTGAGCAGATCCTGTTGTAACCACTTTCTTCAGAGGAAAGGAAAAGTGTCTGTGTTACTATAAGCAACCAATCATTGGTTGAAACTATCATTTCTCTTGTGTAGGTTACAAAAATAAAATCATGCATGTTAGGTAAAACCCCATTTGTCTGTGTTTTGTAAAAGATACCCATAGACCAGAACATATTTTTAAATGTAATGTATCCAATAAACAATTTATAGTGCTTTCAAATCATTTTCTGTATTGAACTGTATTGAAGAACATTTTGCAGCTTGCCTTAAAATATTTGGAAAATGCTCTTTTGTGTTCGCTATTAACCACTTTTGACCAGGTGTTTACACCCCCTTCCTGTCCAGGCCATTTTTCAGTATTCAGCGCTGCAGTACTTTGACTGACATTTATTCCGTCATGCAACGCTGTACTGAAATTAATTGTATACCATTTTTTGGGGCCAGATAGAGCTTTTTTTTGGTGGTATTTAATCACCACTGGGGTTTTTATTTTTTACTATATAATGAAAAAAGTACCGAAAATAAAAAAAAAAAAACCTGTTCTCACTACGTTATTTTATAAAACATTTATTTTTGGTAAAATATAAAATACAAGGTCACGTTGGGTAAATAGACACCAAACATGTCAAGCCTACCATGTACCATACCCATAATTGACCGTAGGCAACGCTTTGAAAGATTTTACCGCTCATCAGCTTAGTGTTGTCAGTGATTAATGGACCTAAAATTGTTGCTCTCACTGCGATGTTCGCGTCTATATGTAACATGTGCGGCGTAATGGGCGCAATCGACGTTTTCGCACGTATACGCACCCGACGCATGTTTGTGACCCCTAATGTCACCTAGGACCCCCCAAAGAAGCTGATGAAGTAGAGATCTACTTCATCAGCTACTCTCCAGCTTCTGAAGCTTCTGCATTCTGACACCGGAGAGGGGATGGAGGGAGCTCATGCACCGATCTCCCTCTGATGCCCTGTCACAGAGCCACCGTGCTGGTCTCGGGCTCGCACTGGGCACAGCGGAGCTCGGGACCAGCGGGGGGCGCACAGACCAGCACTTATACATCGCTTGTATGTAAACAGGCATCGCATGGGGGTGGAAGGGTGCCCCATTACATTTTTGCTGAGGCCCCATGATCTGTAGTTATGCCCCTGTTAGAACCTCCGTCAGGATTTATTTCCATAATTTCCCCCTTTGGGAATATTTACCCTGAAATCTCTCCAATGGGGGCAAAGAAAAAAAGAACACATTTTAAGTTAGTGAGGGATGGTTAGAACCTCTGACAATGTATTTACTCTGTCTGTAGGATGCCAGCATTCCAATTTTATTTTATGAGTGTCCTATGGACAGAATGTAAAGGACAATCTTCCCAGTGGCGTCATAATCAAAAATATAAACCTAGTAGATATTTTAGATCTATCTTCTTCATCCAAAACTATTTTTGTGGCTGTGGCCTGGCTTTTAAAAGGGCAGTTGCAGATATATAAATCCCTTGCAGGAAGATGGTTTGGACCGTCTTTGAGATGCAATAATTGGTGCCCCATGTGCATATCCTCTTTCCACTCTGTGTAATGTTATCTACTCCATGTGTCCCCTTTCTGGTGTCATTGCAGTTTTCTTTTGATATGCCATCTCCTCAGTATTAGATCATGTTATTACTGTACATCTCTGCAGTGCTTGCCCCATTACCACTGAATGTTTTTTTGTTCCTTGATGGGATATCTTGGGATCACTGATTCACTGATGGGGTGGCCTTTAGGACTAGCATAGGCTACATCAGTGATCTCAAAGTACCGGCCCGCGGCCCAATTGCGGCCCGCGAGCCGGTACTATGTGGCCCGCAGCCCGCGCACAAGTCTGGTACACGGTCATGGAGCGCGTACCAGACTTGCGGGAGCAGCTACATGGTCTGCATCTCTGTCGGATGCAGACCGCAGACCTCTGACTGCAGTGAGCAGAGCGGCAGGGTTATAAGTAACCCTGCCGCTCCCTGTAGACTGTAGACAGTGAGAGGGGAGAGCAGTGGTCTTCCTCTTTCACATGTCACAGGAGTTCCAGCACAGTGCTGTGGTACTATACATAAAGGCCTCATTCAAAAAAGGATTAAAGGAGAACTATGAGGTGAGTGATTTTCACTCAACCTCATAGTTCGAGCCGAAGTGTGACAATGAAACTGTCACACGTCAGCTCTATAGATCGTGAAGTGAGCAGACACATACCGTTGCTCGCTCACTTCTGGATCATGTCCCTGCAGAGAGCCGTGACTGTCAGTCGGGATCCGTCCCGGCAGCGGCGGTCTCAGTATACCACGAGCTGTAGCTCCCGGTATACTGAGCTTTGGGTCACGGGAGGGCGCTAATTTATGTCCTCCCGTGACCCTGAGGAGAACTATGGGAAAAGCACTTACCCCATAGTTCTCCCTACAGGTATTCCCCCCCTCCCTGCTCTGACTGGCGGAACGGATGGGGGATGGGGCGGGTACAGATGGCTCTGCCTCTAGATAGGCAGAGCCAGTTGTCAATCACGCAGCTGTGTGGATCTTGACAGTTCTCCTATAAGGAATTAAGAGCACAAGCATTACACACAAATTGAGACTATAACAGATAGTGATCTTGCATTATACCAGTCCAGCATATATATCTCAATAAAGTGTGTGTGTGTGTGTGTGTATATGTGTGTATGCACCATCATATCACCTCTGATGTTTCCAGAGACTGGATCTCTCTTGGTAACTCCACAGCATGCTTGTTGAAGTAGTCCATGGTTATTGCATTATTCCAGTAACTTAAGTTATTCTCAGGGTTGGAGGCCTTTTTCTTCCGCCTCATGCAGCATACAGTTAATAAAACAGCTGCAAGAAAGACACAGACGTTTAAGTCATTTAATACATTTTAAAGATTAATGAGCAAAAGATAAAAACATGAAGTGCAATTCAGGCAGCCAACTCTTGCTGATAAATAGACGATAAAGCAAGCACTTTAAAGAAAACCTAGACTAAGGGAATATAGAAGCTGGGTTTGCAATCCTCTAGTTACTTGGCTGTCACACTGATTCAATAGCTTTAGTACTTTTTACAGGCCCGTTCACAGCATGCATGCACTATTTTTTCAAACGCACAGCAACACACAGTATTTGCGGTACCGCGTGTTGCAGAATGGCTGATCGCACAGTGGGTGGAAGGTATGTTTGGGGTGCCATTCAAATGAATGGCACACAACACACCTACTGCTCTGCAATAGCATGAGAGGTGTGTTGAGCGGTACTGTGCGTTAATTGCACGGAACCAGGCAATTAACACATGGAGATGGTGTGACCGGGCCCCAAGGCACTGATCTTGCACAATATGCAGATATGGAATTCTGACTTTCCGCTGCTTTTTGTTTTTTATTAGTTTTTATTTTGAAAGTTGCTTACTTTTTTTTTGCTTTGTGCTACAGTGAAATACACAAAAAATACAAGAAACATATGTACTGTAAAGAATAGGGAGAACTAGATAATACAGATTTCCCAACGTAATGTGAACAAGGCAAATTGGCTGACGCGTTGTGTGTTGTTAGTGGAAACAGTCAAGCTGGGTATACATGGTTAGACCTTTGTTTGAATGGCACCCCATTCCCAACACATCTACAAAGATGCACCTGCCTTGCAGTGCTTTGCAGCACACAGTAATGTGCTACCATGAATTGTAATGTAAAATAAAACAAAAAGCATCTCTGGCAAACTCAATACTCCAAGGTCAAGCACTGACCCTCTTCTGGGTTGGGCCATGATCACAACCCTGGCAGTCCATCATCATGGCAGCCTGGGCTCACACTACTGCTGCGGAGAGGGGCACTTGCATGTTGTTATGTGGTGCTATTTTGTGCAGGTGCTATTCTGGCTCAAAGACTGCTGGATTTAAGGTAGGTGTAAAGTGATATTAAAGTCTATCTGCGGGTAAAACAAAAGTCCCCTTGCAATGGGGCTACCCCCTCAATCCAAGGGTTAACTGCTCGGTTTTGTCTGAGGGGATTCTTTTAAACCGTTTTACTTACCTGATCCTTGCTCCCGCTGGCTCCAAGACTGGTGGCCGCAGCCTCTTCTCCCCTCCACTCCAGCATTCAGAGGCCTACTAATATCATCACATCTAATGCAGGGCCCATACCCTGCATTAGACGTAAGGACATTCCACAGCTGGAACAGAAGGGTGAGCGCCAAGCCCTAGGGAAGTAGGGATTCTGTATCCAGTGATAAGATTTAAAGCAGAACTCTGCCCAGAAAACAGGCTACCCCCGCACTGTAAGGGTTAAGTGCTCATTTATCTTAGGTGGTGCAGTGGTCTAAGGATCCTTGAGTCATCAAGTTCTATACACAGTGTTTAGGAAGTGAGGACACTGAGGGGCATACCATCGCTGCAGTGGATGAGGAAACAGGCTTCCGGGACCAGAGTATTAGCCAGCTTGCTTTTTAGCGCCTAGACAAAAACAAGCACTTAACCCTTATTGTGCGGGGCTAGCACCATTGCAAGGATTAAGAACATTTTTTCCCGGAGTTCTGCTTTTAAAGTATTGGAACAAAAGGGCTAGCAAGACAGGCATCCAACTAGCATTGCAGGCTGTGGTAGCCTCTATGTTTTTTCACAAGTATACATTGTACATTAGAAAGGTTGAGTTTATATCTAAGGGGGTTATTCACTGTGAATAACCCCCTTAGTGAATAACCGAGCTGAAGTGAAGTGAGCTGAATGCTGAATGCTGTTCGGCTATTCACTGCTGGCTTGTACGGCTGATTTCAGCTGTACATTGGCTAAAATCAGACCCAAAATCCGCTGCCCTCAGCTGCCTTCGGCTGCTCTGCATGTTCAGCTGGGCTGAAGTGCAGAAGGAGTTCAACTGAGTTCGGCTGAGTCGAAGCTCCGGCAGCTCACTCGCTGCCGTTCGCCCCTATTTTCATAGGGGTGGTATGGCAGCGAGTGAATAGCCGAATGCCGGCGAGGTAGCAACCAGAATAGAAACAAATTTAAATAAATAAATAAAAAATGTTTAAACAGTATTTAAAAAATTTAACAAAATCCGAAAATTAAAAAAAGTTAAAATAAAAGAAAATCCACGCATGCCGACCCCACCGCATGCGACGAACTCCCGCCGCCATCAAATCTGACAGATGCCGGCAAAATATAAACAATTGGGCAGAGCTAGCGGTGACATCACCGCTAGCTGCGCCCAACTGTTTCCTATTGGCCGGCACCTGCCAGAGTCTTCTAGCAGGTCCCAGGCAATAAATAACAACTGGGCGGCGCGAGCCTTGAGATCACGGCTGGCTCCGCCCAGCTGTCACTTGCATGGAGGTTGGTCGGCTTCGGCCAACCTTTCTCCACGCTTCGCCTGTCACTAGGAACCCATATGCTTCAGCTCGGCTGTGCGGCCGACGGCTGCCTTCGGCTGCTGTACTGGCTATTGCGAATAGCCCGTACACAGCAGTCAACTGGACTGAAGGGCTCCAGCAGCCAAATCGAGCAGAAGGATCAACTGAAGCTACGGCTGGATCCTATGGCTCTGTAGTGAATAACCCTCTAAATGACATATTGTACAAAGAATGACCCTATGTTGATGAAACGCTACAAATTCCCAGATGCTGCAGGGTACGCAGTGAACTGTATTTATCATTAGTGCTATTGAAGCATACCTTTTCACAACTGCTAATGAGTGCTGCCAACTCTAGGCCAATCTTATTCTCTGGGGTTTTGCTGACGTTTTCCCAGCCTGCATGCCGTGCACGTTTTCTGTTTTCTGACATCAGCACAAGTAATGAAACGATTGTGCTGCTGTGCGTCTGACTCATAGGTTTCTATTATTTACTTCTGCCATTATTTCACATTTAATCATGTTGCTATAGTTACAGATATCCCCCATCCCTACAGTATGTCAGTACTGTCATGAATTTTAATGTTTCCATGCTGACCAGTTCTCAGCAGCAAACTGATCAGATTTGTAAAATACAGAGGGGGTGCATGGCAACCAATCAGCATCTCTCTTTAGTTTGCTCAGCTGAGATTTGAAAATGAGGCAGAGAAGCTGATTGGTTGCAATGCAAATCTGCTCCAGATTTTGTCTCCTCCAGTATTAATAAACTCCCCCCAGAGAGTGGCGTTTGGAAGTATTGAATAGAACAAAGGAAAAGTACTTGTGTAATGCTGATGGCATTATCAGATTATTTGATTATGGTATAGTTATTTAAAGAAGGGCAAAAAAAACCCTTAACCCTTGCAGTGGGGCTACCCGCACACTGCAGGGGTTAAGTGTTTGTTTTCAGAGGCGTCGCCAGGCCGGGTGTCACCTGAAGCGGCTCCCGAGTGTAACCCGCTAGGGCGTTATCACGCATAAAACTGCCACCAGCCATCTTGGTGATGGATGCCAGAAGAGAGAGGAGGGAAAGTTCATCTGGCGGGATAAGGTATGCTGCCAGGTCCCCTCCTATCTCATGCAGCTATCAGGCTTTTTAGGGTCCATGACCGAGTGCCCGACCTTTCAGAAGGGGTGACAGGAAAATGACTGTCAATCATTTTGGTGACGGCGTCACCCAGAGTGGGCCGCACCCCCGCCACTACTCACCCGATCCCAGCTGGCTCCTAGACTGGTCCCTTCAGCCAGTTTCCTTCTTTGCGGCAGCAGTGGAATGTCCCTCAGCGTCCTCACGTCCTATACACTGTATAGAACGTGATGACTCACAGGGCCTTAGATTGCGGGAGCGGAGGAGTAGAGTGGCTCCAGTGACCGTTCTAAGAGCTTGCTGGGATCGTGGTTTGAGGTAAGTATATCTCTATTATTGTTAGCTCCCTAGACAAAATTAGCACTTTTTCTGCACCCTCCCCCACCAGAAAACAGTTGAAGACCAGCCAGAAGAGGCGAAGGTAAATGATTCGGTAAAATGAATATTATTTGTAGCCCAACTGTTGGACATGTTGTATACAGTACTGCTGGTATTAGTAGTGCTCTATAGTAGGTGCCATTCTGCATTGCAGCAATAGAGGCCTGCAAATCTCAGCAGTACTTTATACAGCAATGCTATTTTGTTCTATTTTTCAAACTTTATTTTTTGTGGTTTCTTCAGGAGTTGTGGATTGGAGGGCTTGTGTTTTGTTTTTTGGTGGGAGGGGCCCCCAAAAAATATTGCACCAGGTCCCTTTGTTTCTTAGGTCTGCCACTGGTGCCCACATCTGATTGGATGGAGGTACTGTTGATTCAAAGAGTGTCAGGGGGAGGCGGCAGACAGGGGTTCCCATTGAGCAAATTTCATCCAGTTCATCAAGAAATTTGCTCATTGTGTAACCAGCATTACACCCCATTCACACCTAGGCGTATTGTAATATGCGCGTCTGTCGCGCAACCGTCACGCGGTTTTTTTACCACGATTCGCGGTAAAAAAGTCGTGCGATCGTCGCGCGATTCCAAAGGCTACTTGGCTGTATCCCAATGGAAAACGCCCTACAAAACGGCCCAAAGTAGTCCCGGGACCTTTTCAGGCGTGGGCCGTTTTGTAGGGCGTTAGGGACGGGCGGAAATACGGCGAGGTGGGAACGAGGGCATTGACTACAATGCAATTTATATTTTTGACCGTTTTGTAGAGCGTTCGTCGAGCGTAGAACGCCCTACAAAACGGTCAGGTGTGAACGCAGCCTTATGCTCTAGTGACCATGCAAGGACCAGTTATTAAATGAATTGGATACCCCATGTACAAAGTCATAACAACTTCTGAATACAAGATTGTATTAGGTATTGAATAGCTAGGATCATAGATGTAGATGTACATTCATTACTATGCATGGTCCATGTATGATAGCTATATCACACATTTAGCATGAACAAAGTCTGG